ACTTTAATAAGAGAAAAAAATACTACTTTTCTATGTTAATTTCGTGGATAACATGGACAATACAGTTATTCGTTTCTTTTTCCTAGTGGCCAGGATTTGCAAGACTCACAGAGCAGAGTCACTTTTGGCATCAGCAATGTCCATCTCAGCCACCACAGGAAGATCTCTGGCCCATGCATCCAACGCAGCTCAGCCTCTCTCTGGACATAATACTATTTAATCACTTCCAAAATCAGGGTGGTCTGAAAAATTATGGGGACTTCCCCAACTTTCCTTCTTTCTTCCCCCTCTCTGAGGGAATGCTGCCCGAGAGATGGATCAAAACAAGTCCCCATAGCAAACACCATGTGAACAAGCCCTTCTCTGGTAGGCAGAGAGCTTTAGTACAAGTGGCTATTTCTCTGTGGCTTGTGCCCTTGTGGTGTTGTGAAGTGTCTCTGATTGAGACCCTCTACCATTCACCTGGTTGAGAGCATCAGGGAAGAGACAGGCTGGGACCAGCAGATGTGCTGCTGCCCACAGATGGGCTCAGGGACTCACCCAACCCAGTGACTCCCAATCCATGCACACAGGAGCTGCTAAAATACAAATCATTCTGAAACTATTTCCTCTACTTTCACAGAGGAAGAATTTATTTAATTTAATTTTTGCTTTCCACAGTAATGGCAAGGCCATTTGTGCAATTTTGCAATTGCTTTTCTTACCTAGCTCCCTTTCAGCTGCTCCAAAGTCTTCCAGGTGTCCCAGTCAGGTTATTAGTCTGTTACAGCAGCCATGGTGCCACCAGAGAAGATCCAAACCAAATAATGTTAAATAGATACTTGTAGACTCCCAGACTAACCCACTAATTACCTTGCTTTTTATTTGGGACACTGACTACTCTCATAAAAGCTCTATTATTACTTAGACAAAGCTCTGGAGGTCTCTCAGAAAGCAAGTCCATTCATCTAAATCAATTGAGGTAACAACATGCTTGTGGCTCTGCTTCTTGAGTCAATGCAGGGAGAGAGGTTTAATAAAAAAGTATAATCTCCCCCTGCAATCTCTGATCTTAACTGAAGTTATTGGACTCCTTAATTTCCATGGACTTTATTCAGTGCTCTCACTGTTGCTCACAACTGGGCTGACACTTTGACATCAGTCCCTTGTTGTGATGCACGTGGGGTCATTCTGCAACTCTCCTGCACACGTAAAAGAGAAGGCCAAAAGAACACATTTCCTTACCAACCTGTTGACAAAACCAGTTCAAGCTCCTCTGAATAGTAACCACAAGTGTTGCTAGAGACTTTTACTGCCCTTATCGACACCAGACCTCAAGTCACTTGTCTTGTAATCCCAGACAAAGCAACAAGATCCTCTTTATGAGATCACACAGGCCAGAGGGAGAAATTACAGCTCCAAGATTTGCACTAAAATGGTGAAATTCCCTAGGGGGGCTAGATTTCAATCCCAACGTGCTGCATCATCCCTTGATTTTAGAAACAACCTTGTGGAAACCACTGCAACAACAAGCAGGAGTAAAGCAAGAGATCTGCAAACATCACTAAGGGGATGAGACAAAAAGTCAAGATGAAGCCACTAGTATTTGTCTCTGCAAACATGGAGGCCAAAATGCAAATGGCTAAAGAAACAATGGCAGGAGCTATCATTGCACTCTGAAATGGCCAGAACAAGCGCCTAAGTGAATTTATGAGATTGTGGGGTTATTGGAAACTATGGAAAGCATTATTTGGCTCTTAGCCCAGACTGCAAGGGGTTTAAAAATGCAGCTGGAATTAGCTTACAGCAAAAGCAGCAGGCCCAGGATGAGGAAAGTATTCCACTCAATGAGATGCGCCTTGGGTCTGACCTCTTTTCATCACATACCATGGGGCTTTCTGAAAATTAAAATCATTTCACCATGATGGAAAAGGCAGTGGCACATGCCAGTGCATCAAAAAGTTCCTGAGCATCTCTTTGCTCTCTTTTGCATCACCAGGCACATTTGCTGGAAGGAGAAAAGGAGCTGTCAGTGTTTTCCTTGTTTCACCCCTTTGGGAGCCCAGACAAGGCTGCCTACATGCAAGGAGCACTGCAGATGGAAGAGGCCAAGCAGAAGGACAACATGTCAGTGGCCACTTTTGGGTCACCTGCTCCATGGCCAGCTCAAGCACACCCTGCAGAAGGGATCTCTTGCTTGGAGTAGTATTACACGAGGCAAAAACACTCATCCATGGGATTTTCTTACATTCTGTCTGAGCATCCCAGAGCTGCAAATACAGATTATCCACTGCAATTGGACATGCTTCTAGTACCAAAAACTCCCTTAGAGTGTCCACCCTAGAAATATATCAAGAGCAGGATTCCAAAACTTTCAGAGTATGGGAATTGGCTGTAAACAGAAAATGTCATCCTTCCTTTATTCCAAACTTCTGGTCTGTGCTTTTTAAGTTGTCCCTGCATCCAACTGTTCCAACACCTGGAGGCAGGACTCTACCTATGAACTCCTCGATGAGACTTTTATCCCATCTGCCTTCTGCTCTGAATATCTCAACATTTCTACCTCTCCTCTCTGACTGCACAAAACATCCATGATGTACTGTAAGTAACAATTTATGTCAGTACACAGCAGCTAGTGTGACCCCTGACTCCTGACTACAGTAAGAGCCTTATCAGACAGCCCTTCCTTCTCTGTCCAAGCTCTTCCCAACTTAACACCATCTCAGAACCCCCCTTTGGATGTACCCATGATCCCAAAGAGGTTCTTTTTCAAAAACTTTAATAATAATGCCCTGAGTTATGCTCACTGTGTGTGCCATGAAGCTGGCACACACCACAGATTTCAGCTTAGGAGCCAGCACAGAGCAGCTCGGCCGAGCACATTTGGAAACGGAAATTGTTCACACTGTGACAGGATGTGAGCAGACATGGTAACAATTGGGAAAGCCACCACTACAGGTAACAAGGCCGATAAAGGAGGGAAACACTGAGAAGAGCTGAGGAATAAATTCCTGATACTGCAGCAGCCAGAAATGTCATCCCTTTCCCAGGCTGGGGCACGCAGGCTCCGGGAGCCGGCGCTCGGCTGGGCAAACACAGATGCAGGAGCTGAATGGGAACACAGTCAGCCCCAACTATTTTTAACTGGTGCAGAGGAAGCTTTTACTTTTCATTATGAAGGCAAGACAAAGTGTCCATCAGTTCTGCTGAATTTGTTCACTGAATGGGTGGGAGTTGAAGCCTGTAAAGCCCCCGGTCCCTGTCTGTGGGACCAGCAGCTCTAATCCCCCCCAGTCTGCTCACAGCTGCACGGGTCAAAGAGTGCAACAGCTGAAATGCACTTTTGATACATATGCTGAGGGTTGCCCTAACCTACCCTGAGGATTTCTGCCTGGTGATTTCCATTAAAGCTGACCAGTGAGATACACTACAGGCATAAACGAGCACCAGCCCATCAATGTCCCCTACATTTAGCTCAGCATGACAAAATAAACTAGGCAGAGGCAGCACAAGCAGACACTGGCAGTTGGATCTGGTGGTCCCTCAATGCCACTTTGCTCCCCTGGAAAAAAAATCTGTGGATTTGGCAGCAGCAGCACCTTTACTTGCCAAGTATGTTGCTTGTGGCTCTGGGGAGCAGCAGGGGGTGAGAGGGAGGAGGCAGGGCTGGGACCAAGCTCTCCACCTCCCCCTTCTTGCCCAGACAGGGTTACAGCTCTGCAACTGAATTGTAGGATAATTAATTTCCTCTTAAGCATCAATTTCTGCTGCTGTCCCCACACTTGTATTTGAACAGCATCATTCCACACTCCCTCCCCAAAATATCATCAGCAAAAAACACACTTGCTCATGGGGCATCCCAAGCAGAGGAGCTGTGTCACTGGCCAGATGGTCACACAGCAGCTCAAACTTTGTATGCTGGCATTTGGCCAGGTGGTGAAAAGAGCAGCCTCAGCCAACTACTGAATTCCCTGCATCCATCTCCCAGACAAGCCTCTCATACATCTGCTGTCATACATAAACATCATGCCTTGGGTGAATCCACAGAAGACACAAGTGATGACACCTGTCCTGTCCATCCTGACCTAGAGAGGTGTTTAAAAAGTTCTCAGCCACCAGGGGAAACCAGCAGCCTCACAATACAAGGTTTGGCACTAAACCAGCTCTACAAGTTCCACTTTTGCAAAAGTATATGCACATCCAGAACATGCACACGCATGATAAGAGGTTGCTCCTCTCTGCCAAATAAGCATTTATTAAAATCCTGCATTTATTACACACACTACAATCCCATGAAGGGGCTCAGAAGCCACCAGCAGTGGGCATCTTTGGATTTTCCATACATTCTTAAGAGAGGATTGCTTAGAGGGTGAACTGCTTTCTGTGGCCTTCCTTGAAGGGAGAAAGAGACATTTCATCTGTCTTGTTCAGAAGTAAGTGCTGGCATCGCTCAGAGGAACCCTGCCCTCATCACTCACATGAAATGTGCCCTCAAGAGTCTATTTTTCTCCAGCTGCTACAAAGGCAGCTCAGGGCAATTAGTTCAGTAGACATTTATGCTGTTATGTGGAGTCAGGCAAGAATAATCCCTTACAGTCTGTCATGGTCCAGGCACTGCTCTTGCTAAGTGAGATGAACACAGAAGTTCAAAAAGAAAGCTCTGCTCCTGAACATTTCAGCTGAAATTAAAAAATGAGATCCAGAGATGGCAAACCCAGGAATGATCTGGGTGGGGGAGGACAGGATCACAAGCAATACTATTTTCAACCTATTGCTCATGAACAAGTTGAAACCAAGCTTTGCTCAGGCCCACAGGAAGCTAAAGAGGTTAACACAGAGGTCAGCTTTGAAAACAGTTTAATATTTCCTCACCAGTGTGTTACTTTGCTAGTGATACTACCCAAGGAACAGGAAAATCAGGGACCTGCTGCTCTGCATTCATATGCATATGTTCACAAAGGACATGGGAATGCCTGAGCCCACTTTGAAAACAAGCATTGGAAAGCAAACTAATCTCTTACCCGGTTGTCCTCTTGAATCTCCCAGTCATTGGAGAAGCTCAACACGTGCTGTGCTTGTGAGCAGTTTGAAAACTGGAAAAGGCTGGCAAACATCCTTCTGTTCTCCTGGGTATCAGGGAAAATCGCCTCCTGGAAGTTGACTCCATGTGGCAGGAGGATGTAGTTCTCATCCATTCTGGAACACAGATTGCAAAGGCAGCCCACTGTGAGAATGAGCAGCACTCTCTCTCCTGCAGAAGTCACCTGTCATACTTCAGCCTGGCTCAACACAAAGTCACACAGACTTTTAGCCGGCAAGTGGCTCTCAGCTCTCCTGGCATGTAAGTCACCAAAATGACAACTTCCACCACAAAGGACTGGATCAGGCAGCAGCAGTAAAGACCAAACAGGCTCCTTCCACCCTGCAGACACCTGTGAAACTACATGAAGGAGGCAAATATATATTTTGGGCCGTGGTTTCTACTGAATTTCCATCACTTTGCCCTTGAGCCCAGAGTTTAAGTACTCCTTCAAGCAGTCAATAAATAACTTGTGCCAATAAAGTGTGTTCAAAGATGTTGCTGCAGACTAAGCCCTAGACAGCATCAAAATTAGTTATGTTATGCACCCAGTGCAAGAATATACCAAGTATTTCAAAACAAGCCACTGGGTAGTATTTTGCAAATGCTCTTGAACTGAAAGGTCACGGAGATGGCTCTGTTCCCACATTGTGGTTTATTTTCTTATTCTTTCGATGAGCCCAAAAGTCAGGGTTTGGCTGGGACTAGGGAGAGCCGATGGAAAGCTATCGGGTGAGTATTTGGGGATGGTTTTTAAACTCCCATGCCAAACTTCGGCAAACAGGCGCTGGCCTCTCTCCAGCTCTGCGACCGTCCCGCCGCAAAAACAAAAGCAGCAGCACCCACGAACTACTCAACAGCAACTCCCTGTGCATGTGCCGGCCGACAGTGCTGGAATACTATGGGAGTTTGGTGTTTCGGGCTTTTCTTTCCCTATGAAACTGTGGGTGGAAGCGCAGAGGAGAAGGCGCTGCGCGGAGAGCGGCAGCGGGACGGAGCGAACCCTGCGGGCAGGGGCGGGCGCGCATCCCCCGCCCGCGGAGATGCCCCGGAGCCGGGATGCCACATCCCAACTCCTCCCCGGATCCCCCTAGCCCAGGACTCACCGGAGGAAGAAGAAATAAGCGTAGCCCTGCATGACGGTGTGCGAGTGGCAGGAGAAGTAGCCGAGGCCGGTGAGGTTGAGGCGGGAGCCGGCGGGCACCTCCAGCATGCTGCCCCACGCCTGATCGCACAGCAGCTCGATCTCGGCCGAGTAAAAGAGGTCCCCTGCTCCCTGCTGGGGGCCGCCGGGGGGGCCCCTCTGCCAGGGCAGGTAATTGTAGGCGCCGTAGGGGTCGGGGTGCAGCGCCAGCACCCGCGCGTACACGATGATCGCGGCCAGCTCGGCCCGGCAGCCCTCGCTGAGCGGTCGCCACTCCGCCGGCAGCTGGCAGCCCCCGCCGCCGCCCGCCCGGCCCCCCAGCACCAGCACCAGCCCCAGCACCAGCACCGGCACCGGCACCGGCAGCGGCAGCGGCAGCGGCGGCATCGCGGGCGGCTCCGGGCCGGGGGTCAGGGGGGCTGGAGCGGGGACAGGACGGCCCGGAGGCGCTGCGGGTGCCCCGGAGGCTGAGGGGGACCGGGGGTGGGCGAGAGCTCGGGGAGGCAGCGAGGGATGTGAAGGGGTCGGGGGTGCAAAGGGGCGGGAGGGAGGAGCGCAGGGTGCCAGGGCCAGATGCCCGGAGGGCTGAGAGCCGAGCAGGCAGCGGTGAGAAGGGGAGAAGATGCAGAGGGTCGAGGGGCAGGGGGTGTGCGGGGGCAGAGATGCGAGGAGCAGAGATGCAAAGGGGAGGGATGGGAAAAGGCAGAGATGCGAAGGGGGCAGAGAGGCAAAGGGGAGGGATGTAAGTGAGAGAGGTGCAAAGGGGGAGGTGAAAAGGGAGGGATGCAAAGGGGAGGGATGCAAAGGCAGAGTTGCAGAGGAGGAATGCAAAGGGAAGAGGTGGACAGGACGGAGACTGCAAAGAGGGAAGATGTAGAAGAGCAGAGATGAGAAAGGCAGGCACGCTCCGGGGTGAGGGCAGCTGCTGCCACACTCCCCGGACCCGGGATGAGCACTTGGTGGCACCCAGGGCTTCGGAAGGTGAAGATGTGGCTCGTAGGGTTTTGGAAGTGCAAGAGTCCCAGTGGAGCAGGGGGCTGTGCACAGCTCCTCTAGGAAAGAAAATCCTGGGAAACTTAAGATGTGTTTATGTAGAAACTTGTAGCTCTAGTCATCCACTTCTCCCACTTCAAATGAAACTGGAGAAAAACTTGAAAGTTTAGGAGACCAGCTCTTCCTAGCAGCCTGCAATCATTTTCCAAAATACATCTGATGAGCAAGGTAAAAGTAAAAAGCCAGGACTCAATATATTTTGACTTTGCACTGTTTCATCCTAAAACAGTCTGATGCAGCTTAGGGCTTCTCCAGCTTTTTGGCAGAGAGCTCAAAGACTGACCCTCTCCCCACATACAAACTGCTGTGGAGCTTCTCCCAAGGATCCCTGGGGGCCTTGCACCACTCACAGCCTCCAACAGCCTCTTTCTATTTCAGTATTCTCCTTTTCCCACATCTGATCTCACTTGGAATAATAGTCAGGAATGGGCATGGGATGCTTAAAATCTTTTGGAGCTTTTCTTTGCATGAACATCATGGAGACACAGTCACAGTTAAATGTTCCCCTGGCTGTAGCAAGTCCTGGATGGTTCCTTTAATCTCTGTCTCCATCTGCCACTCCAGTCCTCTACAAGGACTAGGAGCTCTTGAAAGCAGAAGGTGCCTCTTTGTTCCATGTCCATGCTGCACCTGGTATACGAGGGTCCTTGTGCAGGACTTGGGTTCGAAATAATGTGCAAAATAATGAATCATCAGTTGAATAATGCTGAGTCAACTCCATAATAGTGAGATAAAACATCTTCAGTGACAAGTGTCTTCCTCTGGAATAGTTTCATCAGTCTCATCTGCGTGCTAAAGAGCTTAACAAAGCAGTATTCATATTTCATGATGACAAGATGCTACAATATATTTCATCATAGCTTTATGAATGAATAGCAAAGTTGGTTCTTGCTAAAAGAGAAACAGATTTTGATTTTTTTCCCTAAAAAAAATTTCGGAATGACAGATAGAATTTTTAAAATTTTTTTCCCTGGTTCTCAAAGATCAACAAATTGCTTCCAACTTTCAGGAAAAAAGTTTAAAAGACAATTTTGAATTTTTTTTTAAGAAAATACCCTCAAGAAATCCCAAAAGACCAAATAGCTCAGTATTTCTTTAATGTTAACCACTAAGAAAAACTGCTTTTTGCTTTGGAACCTGAGGGGATAAAACTGTGTTAGAGAAGGTTTCAGATCCTCTCTCAGTAGATTTTAGATAAATAAACAAAAAATAAAGAATAAAACAAAGAATTGTGGTTGATGTTGACTTCAGATAAAGCTGAGGCAGTTTTGGAGGCATTTTGTGCAATCCTGTGTAAATGGAGGCTTTGATACAACCTCAGGTTTCTATTGAGAAATGGTATCTTGAGATATTGGCAAAGAATAGAGAGAAGTGCTGCAAGTGGTGGGAGAGTTGTTCAGCCCATTCAAGAGGCTCTCCATGTCTGTCCATGTCTTTCCAAGTGGTATGAGTGGTGTCACAGCCTGGCAGCTTCACCCATGTAAATCTTGTGTTCAGTGTGGGCAGCAACTGTGTGTTTTATTACCTCAGTGCCTCTATTAAGGAGGCAGAGCCCCAAGAAGCTGATGAGATGTTTGTGGCCATAGGTTGGTTGGTTTTGGAACCAAATTCTCAGCTTGTATAAAACAATGTTTCGATTTTCTCTGTGTATACATCCAAGATTGATATCTTCTGGGTGGAAAAGCCTCACAGCCTTCATCTCTGCTTACTCTACGTTGCAAGTAAATAATGGTCAACTCTCCTCAAGCCACTTTGGAAATATCTAATCTAAGCTGTGATCTGTTCTGCTGTTCCTCACATTTCATTTAGCCACCACACAACATAACATAATTTAGCTGGGAGGGAGGACAGGGTGAGAAAGGACAGGCAACTCACAAGCAAAATATGGAAGTCTTTCCTTAATGCTACTATTAAGAGCCTAAACTGCTTATATTTGATCAGGGTGTTTGAATCAGTGAGCAAGCTCAGAAAACACAACAGCATTTGCTGGCATACTCTGGTGCTGGCTGATGCTCTCCAAATTGCTTTTGGTGGTGATTACCAGAGTGTGGATGCAAATAATTAATGTTCTGTGGAATTTCTCTGTCATTCTGCACAGTGGTCATGTCAGCATTCTGAGGATATAGCAGGCATCCATGGAGTTGATTTCAGAGCTGAATGAGCTGAAGGGGGGTCTTAGCCATTACCCTGAAATAGACACAGTAGGTGTGCAAGTCTGCACATAAAAATACCTCTCCCTTGGAGGTGCCTGATTTCCTGTGTCTCATCCATTCATGTTTGCTGGTGCTGTGCCCACTGTCACTGTAAGGACTTGGGGAGGCTCCTCTTCTCCTGTGCCCTCAGTGACATGTCCCCAGCTGAGACGCCTCCCTGTCAGGAGTCTCTCTGGAGGTTTATCTGTGTGTAACCTTTCCCTCCCATATCAATAAGCTGATCCTTTTGCTCTCTCAGTTCATTAGCAACTCAGATGGACATTTTGGTAAAGAGCTCAAACCACCTATATTCAGTGATTAATAATGTGATTTTATTCTTAAATTTCTCTCCACAGAAGCATCATCAATTTTCTTCCCTCTTCCTTCATTTCTGAAGTAGTGAAAAGTAACAGGACCATCTGAATCCGTTCCAGAAGTCCTTTCTCTTCCAGCTCTAGATAACGAGGAATTAGTGACATGAAGTAAGGATTTAAAGCCCTCCCTGGAGACTGCATCCTTCAGATCTGTGTTTGCTGTTTCTCTGCAGGGATCCACCGGCTGATCTGAGACGTTCTTCAGTGCAGTGTGAATACTTTTGTACTGTGAACTCAGCGTGGGTCTGACAAGTGCTGTAGCCAAAACCAGCTAATCAGAGGAGCACCAATAGAGCCAATTACTGCTCAGGCTGCACTTTCAGCCACTCATGCATATGCCACAGTTATTCATTCACTTCCTCTGCTTAGATAGTCTTGTAGACGTTGAGACAAGCTCATGATTTTCCCAGGCAGGAGCTCTTCTTTTTTTTCACACATTTTTACAGATATTTAAATCAAAGGTTTCTCCCTTGGCAATGTAATTTTCTTTGCTGTTTCTGTGGTAATGTGGGTGATTGAAACCTTTTAATCAAACATTGCTCTGCTCTGTCTCTCTTTGCCTCTAAAGTTGACTGAGTTGAGTGTTAGCCCAGGTATCAAACAGGAGAGCAGGTATCAAACAGTGCTCGGTCTGGCTGCCTTTCTGATGGGTGTAGGTGATCTGAAACCTCAGCCCAGCTGTCTTTTATTTATATATCTACAGTGATTCCTTTGTAGTCCAGGGTACAAAATATCAAACCCAGATTTTTGCTCTTTAAACCGGGTGACCTACAAAGATGAGTATTTGGCTGTGCTAGTGTCCCCACAGGAAGAGATGTTTTTGTTAGCTTCTTCTATCTATGCTTCTCTAATTTGAGTAATTCTTTTCATAGTTTGACATTTGGTCCATTGTATTTAACTATTTTTGTACCAATACTGGGCTGATTCCTATTTTTAAAAAACTCGCATTTCCTGGCCATAGTTCTTCATGCTTTTTCTTTTGAAGACTAATCATGACCATGAAGAAACTGGACCTGTCTTTGGAGATCAGCTGGGAATACACTGTTGTTTCAAAGAGTTTGGAAAGATGTATTTTATGCATAGCAGTAAAAAGACTTTCTGTAATAGCAATTAGAATTCAAATAGAAAAGTGAGTAGAAGGATCAGGTAGTTGGTATAGATGGAAATCTTTGGCTATACCTTCACTATATCTTTCTGCTCTTTCTTGTCCCCTTTGGCCTTTACCCTTTCCCCCGTCCATCTTCACAGAATCATAGAATGGGTTGGGTTGGAAGGAACCTTAAAGATTGCCTAGTTCCAACCCCCCTGTCATGGGCAGGGACACCTTACACTTGACCAGGTTGCTCAAAGTTCCATCCAACCTGATGCTGAACATTCCAAGGGATGGGGTATCCACAGCTTCTCTGGGCAACCTGTTCCAGTGCCTTATCACCTCTCAGTAAGGAGTTTCTTCCTAATATCTAATATAAACCTAGTTTGAAACCAATCTCCCTTCTCCACTCTGCCCTCACTGTGGTCACTGAGTCCTGCTGTCCTTTTCCTCTGCCCTGATCTCTGGCAAACCTCACCAATTCAAATGCAGTTTCCTTTGGATCTGGACCTCTGTGCTGTTATCTGTGTTCTCCTACTGAAACTCCCATCTTAGCCTGGCTCCCTCACATCTGGGGACATCTGGTCCTCAGACTCACCATGTCTGAAGGGGAACTGCTTTTCTCTTATCCATCAC